TAATAAACTAGACATATATGCTTTTTTTTTTCTTTCCAATTAAATCGTTCTCAGTTTCCAAAACGACTACAAAAGTGTAATAGTAACTGTGATAAATTTCCTTTTTTTTCAAACAATTAGGGTTGGTTTGAAGTAGAAGTGAGCGCCAGGAGTGAGAGCGAGGGGAGAGTAAGGCAGCGACAGAAGAATAAGAGGCATGGTTCTCACGATTTTTAATCTGATTTTCCACTTCTGCTTTAATCCGATTAAACATATGGTTCTTAACAAAGTCTCCAGATCAAATCAAAAGCCCAACAAAAGGCTTACTTCTCACAATCATCTTAATTATTCTGACTACCATATTGGAGTTTATTGATAAACTTTATTGACAAAACCATCGGATTTTAGTATGAAGAAATGGTATGCTTTACACTAAAATAAGAAGCCATCCACACATAATCAAATAAATAAAGCCTCTAAACATCCTTAATCAATAGTTTATCTAATGTAATTGGAAGAAGTAATTAAGTAGGAAAACTTATACCCAAACAAAGTTATGAATCAAGTAAAAACAATGACAACAACAAACCTTTATCCCTCTAAGTGGGGTCCGCAACATGAATCCCTTTTCTCCATCGTGTCCTATTGAGTGTCATATTTTCATTTAATTCTAATATATTAAGATAATTTTTTATACAATAATTCTTGAATCAAGTACAATAAATTCTTGAATCAAGATTATAAAAAAATTTAATGAATGAGAAATCTATGAGAGGTGCACTATCTAATCTAACTACTGAAAATCATTGAGTTTCTAAATACAAAACTTATGAGTATTTTGAAGTCCATATTGAAAAACCATAAATAGGTTATAAAAGTTATCATAGTTAAGATGACAAGATTAAAATATATGTTGCACTAATTAGAATTCAGTCAAGATATTCTGATAAATTCAGAACTTAGTTGTTCAATTTGATCAATATCTAATCAAGAGTATCAAGATATTTTCACGACTGAGTTCAATAGTTAGTCATATAGCATATAATATTCAATAAAAAAATCACAAATCACAAGATGTTCTATGTTAATATTTTTAACCCTCAGTCTCTAAATTTTCGATTTAAAGAATTACTCCAAAGGAATAAAAAAACCAACAAAAGGTATTCATCATCCAATAAAAGTGTGAAATGTCAGATATTCAGATCCTACTTGGCCAAGCATTCTATACGACAACAGAAATTGTAGCTCTCTCTATTGTTCTTCAGCACTTCCAATAGTCTCCAAAATCACCACCAACTAATCTAACTTTATCTCTCCATCATCTTCATTGTTTTTTTCTCTCATGAACCATCACAATCAGTTAGTAACACAATCAGATCTCTCCATTTCTAACCATTTCCCAAACTGCCAAATATGGGAAATAAGCATCGAAGATATCTATTTTTTTAACCATCACCATCAACTAATAAACTTTTTTGAACCAACAACATTTCTTGAAAATAAAACATATCACCTCCATCATGTGCAATTCTTTCTAGGAAAATGTGTAGTGTGAACCTTTAGCATCCTGCATATCTTTATGGCAATGTTAGCCAAGGACTACGAGTTTATCATCATATCTCAAGTGTATATCGTTCATAATATTTCACTTCACTGGAATTAGAGTTCAAAATTCTAATAATAATTGAGATTAACCCAAAACAGTATTATCTAATAATATAATAAGCTATGGCGGTGCAAATTGTGGTTGGTAAGAAAAGACATACTAGCTTGGAGGTAGTCATCAATTCATAATGCTGTAACTACCCAGTGATTATTGTAGTTGAATCAATCATTTTATTGGAAGAAAGCGTTAAAAAATTCTTCTTTCATTAGCAAGCTTTTGAATGAAAAGTAAAATATTTTCAACATTAACTATTTAAGATAGATGCGTGGGCAGATTTTTTTTATTTTCATCAAGCAATTGGCTTGGCACACTCAACAATTGTTTAGGCCTTATCCTCGCCTATCATGTAAACTTAAAAAGCATGGGATTTGTTGAAGCTACAAGGAAAAACAAAAACCATGCATAAAAAAAAATGAGATAATCTTGGACAAATGCATTATATCAAAAGGGAATCCATAAAAACTAACAACCTTTAACAAGAAGATCCTACTCTGAAACCAATGCATAAGAAATCTCATGCCACAAAGATTTAGGTTTAAGAAACAACAGGTATACGAAGAATTCCATAATAAATGAACAAAATTACCAAATTGAGAGTTCCAATGTATTTTCATGATTGATCTCATTATTTAGTCATCTTGTATACAAGCTTCAATTAAAAAAAAACAAATCACACAAAAGCACTAAGTTGCTATTTTTATCTCTTACTCTCTTAGCTCCCAGTTAAAAAGCATTAGTCCTAAGGAGTGAAAAACGCAACAAATTGGATTCATCATCCTATAATGATGTCAAATATCAAATATTCCGATCTTGTTTGGCCCTACAACTTTATTGATTCTAGCTCTCTCCAGAATTCTTCAATGCTTCCAACAATCTAACCTTATCTCTCCATTACCTCCTTTTTCTAAAGCAACACCATTATTTGATAGTTAAACTCGCTGCTTCCACATTTGCAATTCTTTATAAAAAAGTATGTAGTGTGAACCTTTAGCATCCTCATATCCATATGGAAATTTTTGTTCAGATCTAAAGAGGATCGTCATATCCCTATATCATTCATAATGTTTTTAATTCATAGAATTAGAATCTAAGATTCTAACAATAATTGTGATTAACCCAAAACATTATCATTTAATAATATAACAGGCTAATGTAGGGCAACTTGCAAATGGTAATGGAGGTAGCCATCATTTCATAATATCCTACCAACTCAGATTTTATTGTTATATTAATCATTTTAGATGGAGAAAAGCGTAGAAAAATCATCTTTAATTAGTAAACCACCGGAAGAAAAGCAGAGGACATTCAAAATTGACTATTTTAAATAGATGCCTAGGCTAAGAAAACATGCTTCTTAAAATAAGGAAATCTTGAATCAAAAAAGATATTTGTTCAACTAAAAAACAGCAACCATGCTTTAACAAGAATGCCCTACTTTAAAACCAATTTATTAAAAATTCAATGCCACTGAGATTTTAGATTCAAGAAACACATAGAATACAAAGGATTCCATAACATTATCATTCATACGATTGTTCCTTTTTGACAAAATACACATTTAAAAAACAGCTTAAGTCATAATATTCTCCATCAACACCACTCCCACCCTATACCTCATCCCTTCCCATTTATTGTTTTACCTTAAGACTTCCTGAGAAATAAGTAACATATAAGTTTCACTGTGTTCTTGCAACAAGTTTGCCATATCAGGGTTCAGCTCAAAATTTGAAAATGCATTTTATTTGAAATTTGCCAAGCTTCATTCTACCAAAGATTAAAAAAATTTTCCATCAGGTAAGCTACAATTTAACTTTTATCCTCAGATTTATGGACGATGCTCTCAAGTGAAATTGTGGCATGTATGTAAATCTTCCAATCATTAAATTACCGCTTGGCCAATTGTAGAGGCATGCCTTGGATAAAATGGGGAGCCTTCACATGCAGAATGCAAGTTAAGAAGAAGAAATTAGTTTCATAGGAAATAAATCAAGTCAGCACGGAAAATGTGAGAAGTTGTGACCAATGCAACGAGTGAAAAAAATAAGAATGAAAGCCAGCAAAAAGAAACCTTGATAATTTAAGAAGTTAAAACATAATGCTTGTCTAAATAATATTTAAAGAAAGAAAATGGGTTAGAATATCTAAAGGAAATGTCATGTTGAATGAATTTTGGTGTTTTTTCCTTATTAATTTTCCTTCCATCCCTACAGTGCTTCATGCGTTATTTATGCCCCATTGCTGCAATGAAAAATAACTTCTAATATCTTGCAAAACTTTTATGATACAAAGTGTTGGCGTGCTATAAGCATTTGGATTAATATACAAAGGTTTGTGAACTTTACAAAATCCCCTTACTTCTTTAATTTTGTTTTGTAATATCTCCTCCGTCTTCCCACACTTTTTAACCACTAAAGCCCCTCCAAAAATCAAGCAAGACAATTCATACAAAGCCCCTACTCTAAATTTTCTACCAATCATGATAGGTTCATATAAGAGATTTATAACTTCCTACCCACGATCCAATTAGCCTAAAATCCACTGCATTAAAATTTTAGCTAGAAATTTGTCTAGAAACACTGAACTAGCTAAGCTTTTCCTTAGCCTTCATAAAAAATTAATCATTCCACCATCTCTCCATCAACCATAACAACCATTTGAACCTCCAAAGCATTATAAATGATATATTGCACTCATCTCAAAATTTATCTAATTTCTAGAAACCTAAATTCAATCAAATTTAGGTCGGGATATCATTACCCAAAGTTGATCCTTCTTTATATAGAAAGAGATTAAAGATTAATGCTTCAATCTAAAACATTGAAAATTGGCAGTTCTAATTACAAATGAGAAATAGAAGAGTGATTCCTAAACTTAGAACTTCCATTGACATGTGCTCAAGAAAGATTAAGCTAGCATTCTATCAAATAAATCACAATTCAAAACCAAAGAAATAAATGGGAGAAAAAAAAGAAGACATTACAAAAGGAAAACATAAAAATGAAAATAGAAACATGTAATTTATGTATTGTAATTTATGTATAAAATTTATAAAATTATAAGAAACTTTATCATTTGTTAACTTGTAGTCTTAAAACTAAACGCAATTATATCATCAAATCATTAACCTAATCCCAATTATTTGGGATATCCTTCATTAATCATCATTTTATATTTGTTCCTGCTTAGTGTTGCATAAAATGTTAAACCTATTTTCTGCAAATCAGTAAGATAAACTAAATATAATCATAAAGAAGAGAAGGTTATAGTTCAAAGAAAAGAACATTTCTTTAATATAGACAACTCACCAAGTACGCCAAACAAAGACTTAATCCCATAAAATAACAGAGAGAATTACCTAAACAAATATGCCCGTTACTATAAATGTGCGGATGCAAGGGCGCCGGATGAAGAAAAACAACCTGAAAAAACCCAAAACATAAAAGAAGTAAGCAGATAATACAAGAGAGACAGCAAGAAAGAGGGAAAAAACCAATTCCAGATCCTTTCAATCAATTCATCACCTGCGGCGCTTCCATGGGGTAATGTTCGGGGAAATCGACTTGGAGCCTGTAGGTCTCGCTCGCATAAAGCGTGCCTGCCGCGCCCACGACCTCGATGATCCACCTTCCAAATACGAAACAACACACAACAAACTCTCAAATCAAACAACACAACCAGCAATAGCTTAAGACTCTGATCAAAAAGGGAGGAGCCCAGCCGACCTTTGTAGATTATCCGTAACATTGTGTTTGAAGCCGACCGGGGGATTAACCTGCCATTCCACAAGCTCCTTCTGCAGCCGGTTGCAGGCGATTTTGCTCAGGGTCTGCTGCGATTGAAACTAAATTTCTTAAAGCATATCGAACGATAGAGAAAAGAGCGGCGGATTGAGGGAGGGATGCTAAGTAGCAAGAAGAAGATGAGGAGGTTGAAATGACCTTGCGAGAAGGAGCGGCGGCTGTGGTCATGCTTCTCAGAAGCAGAGCTTGGGAAGAGAGAGAGGTCGATTTGGTTGCCTCACAGAGAAAAAAGCTCCTACTTTTTTACTCAGCGATTAGCATATATTCTCGATTTCAACAGGGAAGACTGCGTTTTATCTGCGAAGACCGGCAATATATATTCTCCAATGGGGAGAGAGAAATGGTCGGCAATGATTGAATTAGCACAATTAAAAAATAGATATATGATGTAATAAATGAAATTTTTTATATTAGCATTGTAATTCTTATATTTGTGAGCACCATGCGTGCAAATCTCCCAAATACTTTATTATTATTATTTTCCGTTGGTATTTACATTGTATTTTACTTTAACCATATTTAATAGTATAAAATATAGTATAAACGGGAAAATTGATTAAAACCCTTTTTCAGGTAATTGGGCAAATATGATCCACATGTCTATATTTGAAAAAATTTTGCCCAAAGTCCATTTTAGATGAAATGCTCCCTCTCTCTCTCTCTCTCTCTCTCTCTCTCTCTCTCTCTCTCTCTCTCTCTCTCTCTCTCTCTCTCTCTCTCTCTCTCTCTCTCTCTCTCTCTCTCTCAGTCATTTCTCATGCGTCTATAATTCGAGTACCACACCCTACACTCGGGGGAAATCGAACCCAGACCAGAAGGGACTTACAACTAAGTAGCAGATGTCCGACCAACTGATTTGAGTACGCAACAAATATAGACACACACACACACACACACACACACACACACA